GGCTTTCTTCAACAGCCCGGGCGTGACTATTGTGAGACATTTAGTCCTGTCACCAAGCCGGTCACCATTCGACTCATTCTCACTCTTGCTTTGCACTTTGGATGGCCCCTTCGTCAACTCGACGTCAATAATGCCTTCTTAAATGGTACTCTTCATGAGGAAGTATATATGGAGCAGCCGTCTGGTTACAAAGATAGCGAGCACCCAAATTATGTTTGTAAACTCCGTAAGGCGCTTTATGGTTTGAAACAAGCCCCTCGGGCATGGTATTTGGAATTGGCTTCTTTCTTGATTGGGTTCGGTTTTCACAAGTCGCGGGCAGATGCTTCACTCTTCATTTACACCAAGGGTGAGGTCCGACTTTATTTCTTGGTTTATGTGGACGATATTGTTGTCACCGGCAATTCGACGGCATCTCTTGATGGTTTTGTTTGTGAACTCTCCCGCCGTTTCTCCCTTAAAGATCTTGGTCCTTTGCATCATTTCTTGGGGGTGGAGGTCATTCCGGTTCGCGGGGGTGTTTTCTTGTCTCAAAGGCAGTATATTCGCAACATCCTGTCTGACCATAATATGGCCGCTGCTAATTCGGTTCGTACTCCCTTGTCTTCGGCTACTATTCTCCACTCTGAGGATGGTTCGGGTAAGGCAGATCCTACTGCTTTTCGGAGGCTTCTTGGTTCCCTTCAGTACCTGGCGCTTACCCGTCCTGATGTCTGCTTCGCCGTGAATAAATTGTCCCAATATATGCATGCACCTACTGCGAATCATTGGCTAGCAGCGAAACGGGTTCTGCGCTATTTATGTGGTACACTTTCACATGGTCTCTTCTTACGTGCTAAGGTGCCTTTGCAACTCACAGTTTTCTCGAACTCCGATTGGGGCGGTATTCATGATGGCGGAAAATCAACTACTGCTTATGTTGTTTATCTCGGGTCCAATCCGGTCTCTTGGAAATCTGAGCGTTAGAAAACTGTTTCTCGATCATCCACCGAAGCGGAGTACAGAGCTCTCGCTCATGCCACTGCCGAAACTCTATGGCTCCAAAATTTACTCCATGAACTTGGTGTGCATATTTCTCGTGCGCCGGTGCTCTACTGTGATAATCTTGGGGCAACTTATGTTTGCAAGAATCCCGTTTTTCATTCCCGCATGAAACATTTAGCTTTGGATTATTTTTTTGTCCGTGATCTTGTCGCTGCTAATCGATTACAAGTTCGGCACATTCCGACTTCCGAGCAACCGGCGGATCTTCTCACTAAACCCTTGGGTGTTACCTTATTCACTAAATTTCGGTCCAAGATTGGTGTCTCCGACGGTTCCACCATCTTGCGGGGGTGTGTTAGAGATAAGTAGATAAGAATGCATAGTTTGAATAGTTGTTACGTAGCTTGTGTGTTTATCCCTTGTTTATAGCATTAGACTTGTTCTCTTCCACTTGTATAGGTTGTTCTCCTAGTTTGTAGGCTTAGTTACATGCCCTGTACGTGTATAAATATCCTCATCACATGAATACTACTGCAACTCAATTATTCACAAATACTCCGTTCGTATATTATTACTCAATCCAGTTGTTCATACTCATCCTAAATTTTTTCATTACTTTATTTAATCAAATTAAAGGAAACACATTGAAAATGTTTACAATTTTTAACTTTTTGTAATCTTTATACCAAGTTAAACTGGGAAAAAAATTTTGAAAATGAAAAGAGTATAAAAAACCGTGAAAGATTTAATTGATCGGGTGTCATAATACAAAACCTAAATTGGATATCAAAATGAGTAATTTATCTAAATAGGACTAAAACATAATGACTTTCTCACTATAGGACCATATGTTTTTATTTTTCAATGTACGATCATTGGTCATTATCTATTAGTCATTATTCAACTAAATGTCCAGCATCACTCGGACATTAATCTCGTCACTAGTCATTATTAAATCTTATTTAGAGAATAAAAAAATTTAAAGTCTTATATTAAAAAATAACTTATATTTTAATACTATTCAGTGCAAATTTCACCATCGAAATAGCTTTGGCGGCATAAGTTAAGAGGAACATAGTGCAAACTTTGTACAATAGCGGTGGTGGTTCGGCATTTAAAAATGGGAATGCGACCGCTACCCGGCCATGTACCCACGGGCAGGGCAATGGCAATGGCATCATCATCCCCTGTACTGTGCACCACAGTAATAATTTGTAAATCTTGTCGTGCTTGGCCCCCACATTTATTTTAATCTTATTTCTCACCCATTTGTCACAAAATGATTGAATTTCTGTCTTTCTCTCTTTCTCTTCCCCTCCTCTGTTTCTAGCTCCCATCTCTCTCTGTTTTAATTTAGATAATGCTCCTATAAGAAGAGAGCTAGCTAGCTTCACTTATGTTTCTTGGTTTAAGGAAAAAAGTGCCTGTGCTGCTTGGTGAATGGGACGTGGCGGAGTTACTTGGGGTTTGGCGTTGCCGCCGGGAGTGTCTCCGGCGGCGGCGGCGGGCGGCGCGGACAAAGAAGACCAGTGGAGGAACTTCGACAGCTCCGTCAACGCGGTGTCGTTTGGCTTTGTCGCCACCGCTATTCTCATTGCAATGTTCCTTGTGATGGCCATTTTCGAGCGCCTCCTCCGCCCGGCAGCCTCTTCCGACGACGACCCATCTTCCTCCGGCGCCTCCAATCGCGTCATCGTCCGAACGAAGCTCGATTGTCCCTCCCCAGAAGTAAGAAATCTTCTCTCTCTCTCTCAGTCTCATAAGTTGTTTTCTGCAATTATGATATACTGCATTGCCATTTTTCAAGTTATTTCATTGGAGCTGATGAAGAAGATAAAAGGAAAATTACATTCATACCCTCATCTATCTCAAAATAATTTATCTCTTTACTATTATAGTCTTTCAATAACTTTTATTTACATGTTTTCATTGATTATTTGACAAACTTTTTCAATAAAACTTATTTTAGAAGTCACGAGATTTTATTCTTTTTTAAAAGCGAATATGTAATTTATTTATAGGAGGGTATATAAGTTAATAATCACACTATATATTCCAGTGTCTATATGTCTCTAAAGAGTAAAAACTATGATGTTAGATTAGGGATCACACTGTTGGATAATCACACATATGATTTCTTCATTAAAAAAAACTCTTATCACTTCAAAAAGAATTAATTCAATCAAAATTTTAAATTTGTAAATTTATATTACGAAATATTTTTATATTATAACAAAATGTTAAATTTTAAAAAAATGAGTTTTATATTCATGAACACAAAAAGATTATGAGCACAACCTTTTCATTATCAACCAGTTCAACTTGTGTTGGATTACCAGAAATAAAGTCATACCAAAGTACCAAACAAACAGTCACTAACCCCAGAATTATTTTATTGCATTCATTTCTCGAATTTTGTTTTTCTTATGTGACTGCAAACAACTCAATTTTATTTTGTTTTCTTTATAGAGTAAAAGTAGATAGGGAATTGATATTTGGGTCCCATCAAACAATTGGAGCATTTCTAAGAAATGCATTAAAGGCCAGGATCATGCTCTTTGTATAGATACACCAAACATAAATTGCACCCAATAATATTTTTTGTCACATAAATAATTATTTTGTTTTCTTCAAAAACATGTTTTATTGTGTGAGATTTGGTGTAAATTTATGTAAGACCCCATCCACTAAAATAGGATTTTAATTTGTTATGGGTTGAAAAGACTCACTTTAATTGATTAGTTTTGGTTAATGAAACTTTCTTCCAAGTTGACATATTATTTGATGCAACATTATTAGTACCTATATCCTAAAATATTCGTTCAGTTTGACTTTTTCAAGCCAAATTAGATAAACTTTAAGTCTTAATTAAGTAAAAATTATCATGTATATTAGTATAAAAATAATTTTAATATATTTAATTTGTTTTGAATTTTCAGAAATATATTTTATTGTATTAATATGTAATACAAATTGAGAATAACTGATGATTAAAGTTTGTCTAATTTGACTCAAAAAAGTCAAATTGGACGAATACTTGGAGGAATATTTGATTTTTATCCTAAAACAATTAGAAGGTGAGTCATCATGTGTCAATGTATTATTGAGCAAGTGGAGAAAGAATCTATAATGTTCTCGGGTATTACTCCATATCTCATTACCTTAATAGCATCAATTAATTAAAATACAATTTGTTTTCTTAATTATTACACCAAACATTAGAGACATTAATGTGATGCTCTATGTCTGCTTTTTCATGTTTCTTTTTTACCCTAATGGGCCCCTTTATGCCATCTGCATGTGCATTTGTCTTATTATTGAAATGAAGTTCTACAAGAGGGTAATTTAAAATCTCTATTACACTATTTTCAAAAAAAAAATGTTCACTAAAATGACAACATTTATTTATTACTTAGGAGTTTCCTATTTCTAAATAACTATTTATAATGACTTTTAAGATACATTAATTTTTAATTGAATGTGGGTAAATATTATGCCTATTATCACTTAATTTTTAATATATTTCGAAAGTCATAATAGCTCACAATTATTTAAGAATATAATGAGTACAATATTTCTACAATAATGAGTAAAATATGCTCTATATATAGTCAAATAGCTAGGCATTCAGTATTCTAATGCTAAAGTATAACTTATAATGTCAAAATATTACAATGTATGTCATGAATATAGTGAAATATATATCATAACACAATATAATGTCAATTTGTGAATGTTTTACGTACGGTCTCAATACTCATACTTAAGGGATAAAACATCGGAAGACATACTAATGTTTGTATGTGTATGTGTTACAGATGACGGTGTACGGTAGAGGAGTGTCGGTGTTGATGCCCGGGGAAGATGTTCCCACGTTCATTGCCCATCCCGCCCCTCCGCCCTGCAGTGTGATGAGTCGAAATCTCGTAACCCCGACTCCGTCCTCGTCCATCTCGCCCTCTCCACGTTCATGCAGTAGTAGTAGTACTCCTAGCTAGCTAGTTGATGAATAATGATATATATGATGATCTTATTATATCACATAAATTTGGAAGAAGGAAAAAAAAGAATTGAGGAATGAGTTTTCCTATAGCTAGCTAGCTAGCTAGAGAGTCTTAGATCCCATATATATTATGTCTAACATGTTTCAAGCATTTGGAACTTTTTTTTTAATTTAAAATAAATAATAACCTAACAAATAAGAGCTGGTTGAATTGGAGAGTGCATGTATGTAGCTTGTGCTGCAGACTCTTGATAATAAATTGAAGTGAGGAATGAAGTTGGTCACTAATTAGCTTATAATTTATATGATGATGATGATTGATGATATATGGGTGAAATAATACTAGTAGTAGTGGTAGTTTACTTTGTGTTGTACTAGTCCATTAATTTGTCCCGTTTTGACTTTTTTCAATAAAATATTTTTAACTTTTGATCTATAATTTAATAAATACTACCTCCATTCCAGAGTATTTGTCCACTTTCATTATATTTTTACACACCATCCAATACACATTGAGAGAATTTGATCACAAGATCACACATGACTATATTTAGGTTTACACATTGAGAGAATTTGATGAGTCAAAGTGCTTAGATGAACTGTTCCAAAAGTCAAAACTGGACGAATACTCCGAGACGAAGGGAGTATATATTGTACATTAATTAGATAAAATAATATTTTAAAAATACTTTATATAAAAAAATCTAATAAAATTATTTTAGTATCTATATTTAATATCACTTTTATTTAATTTGAAGTCAAAGTTTATTAATTTTGATCAAAGAAATTAAAAGTGGACCAATACTGAAGGACGAAAGAGGTATATCACTTATCAGATATTCCTTTTTGACTTTCTACTAATGCTTACTTTGTTCAAAAATAAAGTTGCACGTTATTATCTATTTATTTTTCCAATGTCAGATTTTAAAGTAAATTTCATAAATGGTTCCCAATTAGATGTAATTTTTTATATTTAGTCCCCAATTATAAGATATTACATAAATAGTCTTCTTGAAAACTATTCCACAAATAGTCATTTTCACCAAATATGACAAAATATTTTGAGTAAATTCTTAAAATGGTCTTTTCTAATAAATTGTTTTCCAAAGTAATACTCAATAAAAAAATTATTAACGTGGTCTTTCATAATTGAGATATGTTTTCTAAATAGTCTTTTATCAGAAATACATGTTAAATTATAGTTTAATAGAGAGTATTTTGATGCTCTTTAAGATCTAAACTATGAATAAGTCCTCAAAATGATTTTTTTAAAATTAAGTGGGAGGTTACTAATAAACAATAATTATCAAAATATGTCCCCATTACGGAAAAAATGTTTACTTAAAAATTATCATTTTGGAAAAATACGTAATTATAAATAAAAATTGCGAGAACATATTTTAAGCCTAGATGATAGAATATATCAAAATATCTTCTAATTGACTGACCTTTAATAGACATTTTAGACAAATTAAAGGAGCATTTAGGGAATAAATCTAAATTATAAAGGACCGCGTTGATAATTATTATATTGTTTATTAGTAGCCTCTCACTTAATTAAAAAAATCATTTTGAGTACTTATTCATAGTTTAGATAATAATGAGCATCAAAATACACTCTTCATTTAATAGACTTTTTGATAAAAAAACTATTTATCTGAAATATATTTCGAGTCCCTCAATTTTTTGTTAAAAAACTCTCAGGTCTTACATTATCTGAAATATACACCAGGGTCCTTAAAATTTGTAATATTATACTTCGAGGTTACATTCCATCCATTTAGGCATTAGAACTGAAAGTTCTTTTACTTTGAGAAACTGAAGGATTTTATTAAAATTTAATAAAATAATGATTATGAAGGTAAAATTTAGTATTTATCACGTACCAATACTATTAGTCCTAATAATCAAATATACGGAATGTGCCCAAGGAGCTAATTTTAAGATCATAACATATTTCAAATAGAGAAATTTACCTAAATAGGACTAAAACATAATGACTTTCCCAATATAGGAGCATTTGTTTTTATTTCCCAATGTAGGACTTTTGGTCATTATCAAGTAGTCATTATTCAACTAAATGTCCATTATTACTAGACATTATTCCTTTCACTAGGTCATTATTAAGTCCTATTTAGGGAATAAAAAAGTTTAAGTCCTGCATTAGGAAAGTCATTATGTTTTAGTCCTATTTAGTGCAAATTTCACTTTCTCAAATAATATGGGACGTGAAAGTCCACATCAAAAGTCTCATCCTTATGGATCATAGCATTCCTCAACCTCATGGAGTCTAAGAAGAATGCAGCCCATTGTCTATCTTAGTTCTGCGCAAGTTCAGAAAAGAGAGAACTAAACTCATTGAATTGGATTGTCACTTTGCAAGAGAGAATGTACAAGACCGCCTTATGACTCTTTTTCATCTTCCCACCACTCCACAGTTGATTGATATGTTTATGTTGTGCTTGTTCTTTAGAGTTGAAAAAAAGAGTAGGATGCTAGCTAGTAGAAATGGAAAGAAGATTAAAAAACTTGAAAAAATTGGAAGAATAGAAGAAATGGAAAAAGATCAGAAGGAACTCGAAGAGACTGAAAAACTAGAAGCAACTGAAAAAAGCTATAAGCTAGAAATTAGATAAACCGAATGGAACTTCAAAAATTTATTCAAGTATATTTTCATATGTTTTTATTACGGAGTATAATTTTTATTGTTTTTGTTGTTGTTGTTGTTGTTGTTGTTGTTGTTATTATTCTTATTATCATAATAGGTAAAGAAAATAAATAAAATTTGACCATATCAATAATATACATACCATTTAATTATGAACGAGGGTAGTATAATTATTACTCCGGGGTAGTTTTTAATTTAAAATAATGATGTTTTCCCCAGATCAATTTAGATTAATAAAATACTCATTGTCAAAGAACCAATTCAACCAAAAGCTCAAGCTTGTGGTTGTGGCCCAAAAATGATTGTTATATACTCTAACACACCCCTTCACGTGTAGGCATGACCTCTTTGAGTCTTGCACGTGAAACCTTAAATTTTTTTAATTTGGGTGGCGGTGAGTTTCGAACTCGTAACCTCTTGGTCATCAAGGCTCCGATACCATGTCATCATTCCTGGTTGTGGCCCAGGAATGATTGTTATATATAGTCTAGCACTCATAATTTTTGGAACATGGTTTGAGGTTATTTTCTGTCTCTATTTTCATTAATCATTTAATAAAATAAAATAGTCTTATCACCACTTAATTTGTAAGTTATTGAAATTTTTTGTAAAAATAAAAAAAATGCTTTATTGATTGAATCAATAAGAGAGGAATACAAAGTATGTATTTATAGGTGGAGGAATATATTCTAGAATCCTCCACATTAATGACTAATTATATAAGGTATTACTCCGTATTATATAATAATAACTCTAACTATAATAGGTAACAACCATAATTATAATATATAATATTAAATATATTAAATAATTGATATATTTAACATGCTCCCAACGTCCTGAATGGTGAGGATTGAACGCCAACTTTAAATTGAATGATAACCAGAATCGTGATTAGAAACTAGAGACATATCTTCAGCTAGAGGAGACTGAATGCATCCGGACCATAAAAGAAGAAAAAAGATTGTTTGGAAAGAAATGTGCCTGCTTTGAGGAGGATGAGAGAAGAGTCGATGCGGACAGACTCATGCCGTTGACGTCGAAGAAGGGAGAAGATTGATGTGTGCTGGAGTCGTGCGCGACTAGGTTAAAGAAGAAACACAAGGAATGAGGTACTGCAGGACATACATGTTGACCAAAGATTTGCTTACTAAGCTGGTTGAGATGATGATATGATCAAAAATCAAGAAGCGGTGGTGCTGGATCCGGAGCCGGATGGAGAAGTATGGCAGATCATTATTGGTGGAACAAGTGGGAGTGAGGCCACCGTCGCCGGATAAATCACCGGCTACGGCGATGGAGGAAGCGGAATGTATTAGGTCACCAAGAACGAAGACTCTGATACCATGTAAAAATAATATAGAACGCTTTATTGATTGAATCAATAAGAGAGGAATACAAAGTATGTATTTATAGGTGAGGGAATATATTCTAAAATCCTCCACATTAATGACTAATTATATAAGGTATTATTATATAATAATAACTCTAACTATAATATGTAACAACCATAATTATAATATATAATATTAAATATATTAAATAATTGATATATTTAACATTCTTTTTAAAAATATAAGTTTCATTTATTAATTCTACATCAATATCATTATATAAATTCAATTGAAAATAACTTTTGTTAGGCATCATAATCTATGAAAGAAAAACTAAAATAGGAATGAAACATATGAAAAATTCAAAATAAGACCTTCATTTTTTCTTTGAAATAGGACTTAGAATGTTAGTAATGTGAACATATAATACCAAAAATATTATAGAATATCAAGATACAGTATCGCATTATGCAAAGTTTTATTTTAAAAATAAAAACATATTACCTTTACCTTGGGATAGAGACAATATTCCACTCCTATTTTGGATAATTTTTTTTCTCTATCTCATGAAAATTTTCACTTTCTCCTTTTCTATCCATTCCAAAAAAATGTTACTTTTATTCCAAAAAAAATTTGTGGCGCAAACATTTGTTTTTTTCTTAACAAATTCTAACAATGTGGCTTTTCCTTTAAAACCTTTATAGATTTTTAACGGACTAACATATACTACCTCCGTTCTAGTGTATTTGTTGAGTTTGACTTTTTCGAGTCAAACTGGACTAACTTTGAACTCCAATTACTCTCAATTTATATTGCATTTTAACATAATGAAATACAATTTTGAAAGTTCTCAATACGATAAATTCAATAAAGTCGTTTTTATATTAAAATATATTACGATTTTTATTTAATTGAAACTATACTTTATCCAGTTTGACTTAAAAAAGTCAAACTAGACAAATACACGGAGACGGATAGAGTATCCATATGAGACAATGGCCCAACACCACTGTTATACAAGGGGACTCAGGAGAGAATATAACAAGCTTGGAAGAACAAGTATATGCATAAAATGAAGTACTCCCCCGTCCTAAAACCATCTTCCCACTTCCCTTTTTTTCTCGTCCTAAAAATACCTCCCACATACAAAAAAGGTGTATGTCATGACCACAATACCCCTCATTCATTTACGCCACTTTCTCTCCCCACCCCACCTCTATCTCTTCACCTCCTCTCTCTCTCTCTCACCTTATCTCTTCTTCTCCCCAATCTGTCTCTGCCTTCTCTCCGTTTCTTAAATCTTCCATGAAATCCTAGATCTAATCATCATCGGCCCACCTTTATATGGATTTGGTCAATTTACATTACGAATCGGCGGCGATGGCTACATATCCGGCACGGCACGACTAGATCTAATCATCATCGGCTCACAGATGGCTTATTATCCGGCATGGAAGAAGCGGGTCCGGATTTGACGGCATCTAGCAAGCGTTTGCTGACCTCTTTGGAAAAGGCCTGGAAGATCTCGATGGCTTCGTCATCGGGAGTAGCAAAGCGGCGGCAACAGTGTTAAAAGCTTCCTTGTTAATAGCCTTGGCGAATGTTAAGCCATCCTTCGTGGAAAAACTGTATGCCTTACTTTTTTTATTCAAAGTTTATAAGGAGGGGTAAAGTTGGAAGTCAAAGTAAAAATAAGCAATCCCTTAAAAATGAGTTTTAGTCAATGTGGGAAGGTCAAATTAGGACGGAGGGAGTACCAATTTAAAGCCCGACTTAAAGCCCATAAGGCCCAACACAATAACCACATAAAATCCACACAGGGAAACAAGTCGTGTTATGTGTGTTTTGGGTCAGGTGACACTTGGGTCAACATATTTCGGGTCTGGTTCGGGTTCGAATGAGTTTAAGCTTTGGTAAATTACGTCGACGATTCCGGGTCTGCTTTGGGTAGCATACGAGTCAAGTCCGGTTTGGTTAGAGCATCCAACGAATCCACCATCCAGTGAAGAAAGAAAAGAAAATACTCCGTAACCCACCCTTTCTACGATCTCCAACTATTACACCAAATTCAAACTCAAAATATAGTAAATATCAAATCAAACAGTAATTCAGCTTCAACCCATTATACCAAACGGATGCATATTAACTTTTTTCAAAGAAAAGATACTATATACGGAGTATTTTTTTAGCAAATATTATGACTTTTATTAATTTTAAAAACAAACTAAAAAGTTGTTAATAGAAATTACCTTAAAACAACAAGATGATGAGGTTTTTTTTAGAAAATAGATTATGAAGTTAAAACAAATGAAAAAGAAATAAATAGAATAAATATGAGCAATAAAATGATCGACCTTCTTTTGTCAAAGAAATAGAAAAATAGAAACCAAACACTAGTGGAAATACTATTTGAAAATAAGGAAATAAAAGTTGACCATATAAAAAATATCTAAAATAACATCTCTACATGAAGTAAATGCAAGATTTAAAATTTAGGGAGTATATGATTTTGGGTAAATGAATCTAAGTGTCGAGATCGATAGTGAAGTACTCCCTCCGTCACGCAAAAAAGTTCTCCTTTCATTTTTTTTCGTCCCAAAAAAAAAATTCCCATTTGTTATTAAAGGTCAATTATACCCCTCCATCCCAAACCCTAACAAAACTAACCTAACCCACCCCCCACCCGTTAGAATCTTCTCTCTCCTCCTCTTTGCCTCTCCCAATTCCCAGACACCATCTTCTCCCTTCCTCTTCTCTCAGATCTAACCTCTATCTCTCTTCTCCTCTCTGAATCCATGAAAAGTCGCGACCCTACTATGCCCTCATTTCAATTACTGAGCGACAATGATGAGTGTTAAATATATCAATTATTTAATATATTTAATATTATACATTATAATTATGGTTGTTACCTTTTATGGTTAGAGTTATTATTATATAATATTACCTTATATAATTAGTCATTAATGTGGAGAATTCTAGAATATATTCCTCCACCTATAAATACATACTTTGTATTCCTCTTCTATTTATTCAAGAAATAAAGCATTATTTGTTATTTTACATGGTATCAGAGCCACCGTTCTTGGTGACCTAAATTTCTCCGCTTTCGCTTCTGGCGGGCGGCACCGCCATTAACCGCCGCCCGCCGGATCACTGTTTTCCTCTGATCCAAATTCTTCCATTATACAAAAAAAAAATCTCTATTATAGTCACCGGCATCTCTAACGTCATCCTCTTCTCCTAATCGCCGCAGCTCTGATCGGCGTCCCCTACTCCACCAAACTACCGGCCTCTCCTGGCGCCAAGATCGCACCTGTTCACTCGAGAGTAACATGAGTCAGAAGTCATTCTCCTCCAATCTCCCTTCAATCCCTATTTTTTTCGATCTCTCACAACTCATATCATCACCTCAACCTGCTTCGTGGGTGGATCGTCGGTCAACATGCATCTCTGACAGTACCTCATTCCTTGTTTTTCTTCTCTAACCCAGTCGCGCACGACTCCAGTGCACGTCAACCTTCTCCCTCTTTCGACGTCAGCAGCACGAGTCTGTTCGCAACGGCTTTTCTCCTCTCCTCATCAGCGCCTTCACATCTCTTTCCTGGCAATCTTTATTCTTCTCTTCTAGGCCGGATGCATTCAGTCTACTCTAGCCGAAGATATGCCTCTAGCTTCTGATTACAATTTTGGTCACGATTCAAGTATAGTTGGCGTTCAATCTTCACCGTTCAGGACGTTGGGAGCATGTTAAATATATCAATTATTTAATATATTTAATATTATATATTATAATTATGGTTGTTACCTTTTATGGTTAGAGTTATTATTATATAATATTACCTTATATAATTAGTCATTAATGTGGAGGATTCTAGAATATATTCCTCCACCTATAAATACATACTTTGTATTCCTCTTCTATTTATTCAAGAAATAAAGCATTATTTGTTATTTTACAATGAGGAAACATTTTTTCCTCGTCAAAGATCACCTCCACCCACAATTTCGAAGAGGAAGGATGAGGAGACCTGGGGATCTGGCTTGGATGGAGGTGGATCTGACTCCTCTGAGACGGATCCAACTTGGAGTTTCCGTAAAAAACATTTAGGGGGGGTTATTACTCTGACCCTGAAAAGAGTTATGAAGAAGAGGATGGAGAAGAAGACTCTGAATCTGTGACATCTGCACAGATCTTGGAGATGTCTGAGGATGAGCTCAATTTCTCAGAATGTACTTTAGACCTAGCTAAGCAAAATCGTTTCAAATCAAGTAAGATGTATCTACTTTGATTTGCTTGAATGCGGAAATTTTTAATTTTTTTGGCAAACTCATGATGCAAACTTGATTAATTCTGAAAAGAGTTCAGAATATGTGTGGTTTTTGCTGTAATGTTACCACTTTAATGTAGGAGATTTACAGAAACCACATTTATGCTGGTATGGTCTGTGCTGTTTTTGGTCTACCTGTGTTTTGTTGCGTGAAAGGAAATGTATTCTCTGGTGATTTAAGTTGTGCTTTTTGATTCTGTGATTCTGTGGTTCTGTTGTTCTGTGCTTCTCTTCTTCTATTTAAGGACTGATACTAGACTTTAGAAACCAACAAAAGACAGATACTACACCTCTTCTACTTAAGGACAGATACTCCACTTCTTTTTAACAAAAGACAGATAATACACTTCAGATACTACACTTCATATTCACAAAAGTACAACCCAGCAAAAATCAAAAAGCAAAAAACAGGCAAGTGGTAGTACTTTGACATTTGTACCTTGACCAAACTGCCTGGTAACCTAAAGTTAGATGCTACACTGATTACATTTGTGCATTCACTTGAGAGTACAAGAGAATATTGTAATTTTCCCATGCCCTATTGTACATACAAAAAAAGCACTTCCAAAAAGTTCACATTTGTTCCTCCAGAAAATGTTTTGCCTGTTCATAAACTTCTTGGGTGACCCCTACATTGTCTGGCAGCCTTCCTTCCCTAGCTAACATTGCTTTCCCAATGTGAGGTATTCTGAAATTGTTGCCACCTTTGTTCTTAAGAACCTCACCCATAACTCCTTGCAATGTTAGGAAAACATTATTCAACTTCTCATGTGGGATATCCTGGAATGCTGTGGTTACAGCATTTATCAATTCACTTAAGTTTGTCGTACTTATAAGACTGTAGTAACCTATCGACTATTCTTCGTCTTCTTTCGCTTTGTTTTTCTCGTGAGTGTGCTATGTTTTCCTCTGTATCTGTAGGGGTTTCAAGGTTGAGAAAGGGGACTTGGAGAAGTGGAGGGTGGGGGTGGTTCTCACTGGCAGAAACATCCCCTGATTCCGGTGGGGCTTGTTCATCAAAAGACAAAGATGAAGAAGAAAACTCCATAAAGAAGAGAACAAACAAAAGAAGAAAGCATTGAATGCATGGAATGCATTCAATGCTTTCTATTTATAGAAGTAGTGCTATTTTTGGAGTTTGTTGTAATTGGAGGGAAATGAAAAATTTCCCAAAAAATTTTCCCTCCTGCATGGGTTTAAGAATTTAAATGTAATTTGTAGTGAATAGTGGTGTAATGATTGTGTTGATTTGATATGTTTCCTTTCTCTTACTCCCTCCTTCACAAATTATTTGCCACATTTCTATTCCCGAGGCAAAATATCAAAGTTTTTCAATTCATTTTATTTACATATTGGTATAGAAATAAAAAATAAAATTTATATATAAAAAAATTATATGAAAAGTTATTCGAAATAAGAGGTGTGAAGAATATTTTATTTTATCAAATAACCAATGAAAACGTTAAAATAAACAAAAGTTCCCGCGACTGCTGAAAAAGCAAATGTTGTGAATATTTAGATACGGAGGGAGTATTTAATTAAAAAAAGTACACCCACTTTTCTTACACTTTTCTCCTTTTTCATTTAGGGCGTGTGGGGGGGGGGATTTTGGGCAAGTCAAAGCCAAAAAAAACTCCTCCTTATTTTGGGGTACTATTCCAAATGGTAAATTTTATATGAGATGGAGGGAGTAGTATTTAAAGCAATCCAAGAAGATATTGAAACTCATTCACATTCTTATGTCCTAGAATGTCATCTCTAATTATAAGATACTAATGCAAGACTTTGTTTCTCTCACACTTTCACTTGTTATGAAATCAGCGAATCATGTGACTCACAGATTGGTAAGAGCGTCTAATTTTGAGTCTGATTGTTTGAAGTTGATTTATGTCCCTCCGACGTTTATTTATGAGACAAATTAAATGGATGAGACAAATTAAATTAAATTTAAATAGCATTGGTGTTTAATTACAGGACGAAGAAATGTAGTTTGACTTCACTTGACCCTTTTCCAGCATCCAAAATCACACCATAATAACGACATAAAAAAATTAATTTTGAACAGTAGAAGATCCGAAACGACAGCGTCTTGGCCCCCGATTTGACATTTCTCAGAGGAATATGAAACATTCCAAGGAAACGAGAGGGTTCTCCAGCGACTCCCCGGTCTCCTCCGCCGCGCCGGCGTTACGCGTCTCCGATTTATCGTCCCCGGTGTGGCGCTCTGCGCTTCTCGCCGGAGAACGGCCACTTTCCCCCACGGCGGGGCTTTTGTTCCTCACATTGCGACGGGAATCCACCTCTCGGCGCGTGGCAGGGGATCTCGACCGGCGCGTGGTGGCGCAGTCTCGGGGAACGTCTTTTTGCGGACCCGCATTACGCCTCTGTGACGTCACGCGAGACCGGCTCTGGCCGCCTCTCGACGAGGCCAGAGCATTCCCCTTCTCCGGAGACGGCGTCGATCTTCCCGCCGGTGACCTGAAACTCCTCTCTCTCCTTCCGGCCAGATCTCCGGTCCCCCGCCGCTTCCTCGGCGGGGCAGGGGACCTCTGGTTGACCTCTCCGTCGTCATCCCGCCTCTCCGTCGCCGTCGTGGAAATACTCTCAGTGAAGCTACACATTTCAGAAGGCTCAGAAACGACAACCTCCTCTTCCTCCTCCTTAACCACGCCACCACGCCGCCGGCCTCCGGCAACCTCAGCCTTGTCTTTCTCAAAGTCAACATCTTTCAGCTCACCATTGCCGATCTTCTCCTGCTTCTCCTCATCCGGCAAAGAAATGGGCTTTGAGATGTGGGTCTCGGACAAGACGACTTCTTTGACGGTTTCCTCCTCCACCGGCGGCGCAGATCTGTCAATCTTGACCGGATCCGGCGAGCTGGGACCTGCAGGGGGTCTTCTTGTGCTTAAACAACAACCCATCTCGCAGAATCAATCCAATCACGAACTAAAAGTGGATGAAACTGGGTGTGAAATTGCAGAGGCTAAAAGGCATTGTTACTATGAATTCAAATGTTAATGGAAGGGGGGGGGAGGTTTCTTGAGAAGAGCAGAGTTTAATGGCGGTCGGAGTCGTTGGGGAGGAGAAAGGGAAAGGGGTGGGGGTGAAAAATCCGTGGAAATGCACAGGTATTTGATGTGAAATGAGCAGTGTGATGTTCCAAAAAAAGGCCCATATTTAGACTGTGAACACCTTTTTTAAATAATGTTAAGGAGTAAAAAGACAAATGAATATAGACAAACATTTAAGACAAGAGAAATGGCCCAAATAAGAATTTGGATGAAGAGTAAAGTTTGAAAACATAGGGGTAAATCCTTCTTACTCTCGTATTTTAATTTACATTTTTTTTACTTTCAATTAAAATTATCCATTTACCTATATCAAGTACTTCGTACTTCTTTAGTCCCATTTTAATCTTTTCAGTCCGTGTTATAATGCTTGACCAATTTTGTTTTCAATTCAATTTGTGAGGTCCTTATGCAAGATGTGCCGAGGCCGACGGGACAAGATCGCTCAAAGACGGAGAGAGCCAAGGAGAAAGTCACTTCAGGCTCCAACGGCAGCGGCGATTACAAAGATGAGTTGTACACCTTACCCACTAAAAAGAAGTCGTCAAATGGTGGCCGACATGGCGTTTCTTGGCAAGAAGTATGACGATATGTCCGAACGCGGTCTTGTCTTGACCGAGATGAAGAAGAAAAAAATAAGAAAACAATATGAAGCCGAGCGTGAACGTCCTAGATATTTTATACTCCGTATTTCATCTTTTTTATTTCTACCATGCTTTTTCCTCGTGTTTTTCTATCTTTATTTTTCTTAATTTAAGTAATGCATGCATGTATTTATTTTTTTCATTCACGTAATATATGCGTTATTTAATTAATTGTCTTTTGTTGGTGCACTAGTTCGTTATAATAAAAAACAAAAAAAATTAATAACAAAAAATAATAACAAAAATATAATAATAATAATAATAATAATAATAATAATAATCATAATAATAATAATAATAATAATAATAACACAATAAATTTTTATTAATTTGTATCATTATTTTATAAATGATAAAATTTAATTTGAATAGAAATAGGTAATTAGTTATAAAAACATAAGTGTAATCGTTGCAGTAGATGTGAAGCACTACAGGTGTGAAGTCACTGAACTAGTGAATACAGTCAGCGTTAATGTGGTGCTGAATGATTGCTGATTTAGAGTGAGCAAAGGTGGAGCACTATAGATAGCCTTAAAAAAATCTGAACTTTGTGTGAAACAAAGAAAGTATGATAGCCTAAAAGAAAAAATAGAACTTAGTGTAAGACAGAAAATATTAACCTACGTCTCCCCTCTTACTTATTCATTATTGATTTACTCATCAAATCATATTTTATTCAATCACTTGATATTTTATCTACAATATCATGGGAAGTAACTCTCGAATTTCATCATCTTAAATACCAACTTTATCAAATACTCGCTCTGTCCTGAAAACTCTTTTTGTTTTGATTTTTTGGTCAAATAGTAACACTCTTTGACTACAAATTATAAGAAAAGTTTATTGAATTGTAATATACATTTAATAATAATCCAATTATACATTTAATATAATTAAATTTATTTATTTAAATTATGTTTAATTTATAGTCAAAGAGTGTCACTGTTTGACAAAAAAAGTGACAACAAGAAAAATTTTCAAGAACAAAGAGAGTATATAAAAAGATTTTTTAAATGTTAGGAGTGGTTTTTATATCATTTTCATTTTTTAAAAAATATATACAAGTTTTATTTTTAATTTTACACTAATTATTGGTTAAAAAATAATTTTTGTCAAGTACTGAAAAATGAAAGAGAAGTTTTTGGTGGGAAAGGCAATTATTTGATTAAAAAAAAGGAAAAGGAAAAGAGAGGCGTATAACCGAAGGTCGAAAAAACACAATGATTGTGTATAAAGATTAAAAGGGGATGGCTTTCAAAACTAAAGTATCCCCACAAGTAATGTTTTAGGCTTTTAGCTGGTCTATCTTTACCTTTTGCTAACGGTCCACTCTCCACACAAAAAATAAACGCCATTCTCTCTCGGTCCCAAAAAAAACATAACGCAACATCTTTATTGACAAACTACAAAAGCAACAGCGCATTTAGTTTAGAAAGTCTTGTGCAATACAAGGAGATAATAAAAAAACAAGAAGACGGTTCCCATGACATTGTTCGGCAATGTCATGGGATGACTCGGGGGGACTCCGGTGCCCCATTCCTAAAATTGACAATTCCTACCCCGGTAAACCCCCACCCCGACCGAACACACCCCCCACCCTCTTAAATTACACCCCACAAGTTGATTTTGACTTTGGAGTCAAATTTTAACTCCAAAGTCAAAATCAACTTGTGGGGTGCAATTGAAGGAGGTGTGGGGTTACCAAGGGGGTTAGGGGGTAAGAATAGTAAATTTTACAAACGAGACATCAGAGTGCCCCTGGGTCATCCCATGACATGGGGTTCCAATGTCATGTGAACCCCACCGTAAAAACAATACAATGTTTTGAATTGTGTTCCACTTTTACTCTTTTATGTGAATAGTTAAATATGCAGTTTAATAATTTAGAACGAATGGAGTATGACAGCGTCATAATATTTCCGATGGATTAAAGTACATGAGACTGTGTTAGGAAATATGCCCTTGATCATATCTCATCCTGAAACCATTAAGAATCATTTTAACCAACTTTATGATATTATGGTAGCATACAAATTATATTGAACAATATCCTATCCGTGCAACGCAAGGCCATGATTCTAATCAATCATAAACAAAATATGCTACTATTCACATGAGCATATATGACATATCCACTATGATGTATATAATACCTGCCTTATTGCTATAGAGTATAGATAGATGAATGGTCAACACTTACTTGCACTAAGATACCCCCCGGACAAATAGTCTTTAAATGAATCAACGGAAGCCAAAAACACTGCGTAAGCCTTGTTTGTGCTTTGCCATTTCACTAATCAAACTGCTGCTCAAAGTAGAATTCCTGTTATTTGAAAACGGCGTATTAGGGAGAACCTCCAATAGGCAAACATCACCATAATCTGTGGTCAGAAAATGGAGGCTAGGCCGAAGAAGCAGCACGATCAGATTCAATCATAGACTTGATGTAAAACTCTCCAGCCTTGTATGATGATCTAACCATAGGACCAGAAGCAACATATCGAAATCCCTGTGGCATCCAGCATAGCAGTCATTTCATTACCCATGGGACACAATATGCAATTTAGCATGGCAATGACAGACACTAAAGCTCAGTGCATGCATACATAGTAGTGCTTATGTAAAACAATGCAGCTTTCCTACTGTTTGAAGTAAAACAGGTATTATCTTTGCTTCTATGTATCTACACAGCTGAATTGTAACAGAGCATCTTTTAATAAATCATCTTTCAAAGAGAACCCGCACACTAAATCATTTTTAAAAGTTTGACAGCAATGAGAGTGAATTGAGAAAATTAAAATAATGGTAGAGATTATTTTTGGACAGGATTGGAAAGAAAAGGAAGGCGAATAAAGTATAAGATGCTAGGGAGTAATTAAAAACAAACTTTTGCACATATCTACTTTGAGCTTGATATGAATAAATTTTCAGAACGCTGGCGTAGCTTATGTTTAGGGCGCTATCGTTTCCAATTCTATTTTCCTATACAAATTTTTTAAAAATGATGGAAAACTGAATTCTATCACAGCACCAAATATGTCCATTACAATGATACAACATGACCACAAAACTTTGTATCAGAAATTCTATTCAACCTTCCTATCATGGCTGCCAAACTTCCTACCATACATTGATTCCATTTTGTTTTCTCACTTGTCATTTTGACAACATATTGGTTAGCAAACTTCATTCATATCATGTATATGCAATGGCAAGCAAGAATGAGGCATGGAACAATAAACATTTAAAGAACACCCAAAATTATTCAATAGATAAATGTGGGAGAAATTGATACAAACCATTTGCATCCCAAGAACTCGATACTTCTCAAAAGCCTCAGGAGTAACATATTCTGATACAGGCATATGCCGCTTTGAGGGTCTCATATATTGACCAAATGTCATCACATCCACACCAGCTGCACGTACCTTTTCCATGGTTTTAACAATTTGGTCTGGTGTTTCACCACAACCCAGCATTATAGATGTTTTGGTTAGCGTACCAGCAGGAGCATATTCCTTGGCCATCATCAAGACATCCATGGACTGCTTGAAGTTAGCACGTTGATCCCGTACAACACTCTGAAGCTCTTCAACTGTTTCGATATTATGAGCGAAAACATCTAATCCGGACTTTGCAACTTTCTCAACACAACTAGAATTCCCTCTAAAGTCTGGAACTGCAATAAAGAAACAATGTCAAGAAATGAGAATGAAGACATACATTCAGAAGGAAGGAAACTACTATAGACACTTACACATCAAACCGTTTCTTTAATTTGTCTGTGTGTAGAGTCCGTACACACACCCACATGCTACGAGAATTGATTGGACTACAAGACTAATAATAACCGTTCTACCCCAGCCAATACAGATTATTACTCCCCCTCTCATCCTTATTGTGAGGCACAAAAGACCATATTTCACGAAGCTGAGAAAATAGTTACTTTTTCTTGAGTTCCAAATTTTTTTATGGCATTTCAACATGATATTCTTTTGATATGCTTTGTAAATGAATAATTTTTATGAAATAAACATGAACACAATGTTGATGCCCTTATAAATGATTCATGGAAAGAGCAATACCATACAAATAATAAATGATTAAAAAGCAATCCCTTAGAAAAAAGGACCACTGATCTCCTTTTTATTCAAATGTGCCCTGCAGTAAAGACTGGAGGGAGCACTTGCTAAAAGGTCAGGATTCACAAATGGTAATCCTCCTAAGCTTAAATAATACATAATACTGGAGTGTATCATTCAAAATCTAATATGCATTTAGACAAACAAGAATGACCACATTCTAAAGATCATAATTGTCATGGCATCATAGTTATTAATGGCGTGGCGAGGGGCGGGCGAGAGGACCTTTTTTAAGGCGAGAGGGGGGTGTTCAAATGGCGAACATATATAATAACAATAATGATAATAATAATAATAGTAATTAATAGTAATGATAATGTTAATAATAATAATATTATTATTAATAGTAATACTAATAATATTAATAATAATAATAATAATATTATTATTATTATTTATTATTATTATTAATAGTAATAATAATAATAATAATAATAATAATAATAATAATAATAATAATAATAATATAGTTGACTAAATTATATACAGAGTATATGTGTGGTAGGCTCTAGGGCAATACGTAATTGTACAGGTTATTAAGTAAATTAAAAAAACAGGGAAAAAAAAGAAAAAAAAGAGAAGAGTTACGGATCTAGGTTATTGTACAGGTTATTAAGTAAATTAAAAAAAGAGGAAACAAAAAGAAAAAAAGAAGAAAAAAGAGAAGAGTTACGGATCTAGGTTACCCACTCCCATCGGATGGCTTAGATTTAACGATCCTAAGCTTCAGCAGAGGATCCCAGCCGAAAGAAAACACTTCTGCATTGATCCAATCATAGAGCGAAGATGGCGCACGCATCTCGCCACAAATCCAGGCGTGAATGGCGACCGCCATGGCGCGCCTCACGTAAAACACCTCGCCCCAACTAGGTATGGCGGAAAGACCGCGCCACAGCATCTTTGGCGCCATAAGCGCAAATGGCGCTCGCCATTAATAACTATTCATGGCATATGGCAATAGTCATGACAATCAGCTCTTTTGTCTCGACCATGGCAACTTTGAAATTATGGTGTCCCCATATGACATAAAGATAAACATGTGTAAGTATGAACTAATGAGCTATAGACGATGACATCTATAGTTGATCAACCAATTCATTTATCAATCAAATCCCGCAAAACATTAAAAAAAATGCATGGGTTTCTAAAAGGAAAATTCTCCATTACCATCGTAACAGAATGGTTCGATACCACATTACCACCCCATAGCAACATATAAGAATGAAATGGTGAGATAAAAATCTCACAGCCCCAAAATTTAACTCACGTTACAATGAAAAGGAAAACTGCTACCAAGCATCTTCAGAACAACCTGCCATGCATATTCACCCACTGCCATACGCCAGGCATCTACATACTAGACATATACATAAGGAGAAATTATTGCCTCACTGGCATAAACAAGAACGAAAGAAACCACTGCTCCCGTCTTGCAACATTAGAAGATGAAACCGATTGAAACAAAGCTGTGCAAGTACTGAGTATGTGTAATATGTAGCTGACCGATGTATTGTAGTTGGTCGGTGCTCACCAAAAGAAACCATGCTGTCTTATCCTTTCCACAACTGTGCTCTTTAGTTTATTGGTCTTAAGGTTGTTTAGTGATTGTTAGGCTTTAGGTAAGGACTGGACAACAACAACAACAACCCAGTTAAATCCCACAAGAGTAGGGTCTGGGAAGGACTGGACAGATCAAGAAAATTATTGTGAGATGGGCATGAAAGATGTACCCGAGCAACATTCAATTCTATCAAAGATGGCCCAAAATTTGGGCGTTTTGTGGCATGACATGATGATGGCGCAAAAATGGTACCTCCTCATGTATTCTATCACCAGGGCTTATTTTTGTGGTGAAAAAGGCTGAAATTATGGATCTCGACGTTGATAACTTAGCTAAGATCATTTATTGGAACAATGTTTCCATTCCAAACACAGAATGAAAAACGGATGAAAAGATGAGAAAGGGAACAACAAAAGCATTGCTCTTTTTACACGAAAAATTGCATGCCATGTTTCTACCATTTCAAACAAAAACTGAGCTATCATTATTTTTAAAAAAACAAGGTTCATACCAAGTGCTTCAATAAGAATATCTGGCTTCAATTCCTTTAACTTTTGTACTGTCTTTGTAAAATGATTGCTTCCTTGGTCGGGCAAATCATCACGGTCAACACTAGTGATCACAACATAATCCAAACCCCATGAAGCAATTGCCTCAGCCACATTGTACGGTTCATTTGGATCGGGAGGGGGTGGAGTGCGTGATGTCTTCACGTTGCAGAACCTGTCAAATTTAGAGAGTCAAAACATAATTGATGGACCGATTTCATGTTTTCCGTCATTCAAATATTAAAATAATGAGAGAACAACGAAATATCTAGATTCAGATTCATTGGTTAGCTCAACACTTAATCCCCTCGGTATGAGCTTGAAGCAATTCTCTTGGCAATTACACGAAAATATTAGTAGCGCCCATTTGAAGTAACCTTCAATTCTTCAAATATTCAAGTATTCAAATGTAGTGTTGAGACTAACAAAGATGAATCATAACTTGGTGTAGGCTATAATTTTAACAAAAATATTTTTCTATTAGAAGAAACATAAGAAATCAAAGGCAAAGCCTCTTCACCAACTCAACTCGACTTGTTGCCTTGATAACCATGTCAGGGTAGATTGCTCCAGAGTACTCTATATATACTTATGACAGCAACAATAATAACAACCCAGTAAAATGGAGAAAGAATATTACCTGCATCCTCGAGTACAAGTATCGCCGAGAATCATAATGGTTGCAGTAGCAGTTCCTGTTTCCCCACCGGACCAGCATTCTCCCAGATTGGGACATTTAGCCTCTTCGCAAACAGTGTGCAGGTTCAACTCCCTCAGTTTCTTCTTAATTTGCGTGTACTTTTCTCCTCCAGGGATCGCTTCCTTCATCCACTTGGGCTTCGGGAGTGGCTTCTTCTTGGTTCCAACCTCAACAGAGTATTCATTGTTTGATTGGAGCCGAGTGAAATCAGCAAGCGTTGGGGCCTCGGCGGCTAGCCTGCTCCTCAATCCTTCCAAAGTTTGGGGGTATTGGTGAGCAGACAGGGAGGAAGGGGGGATGGGAGAAGCGGAGGAGAATGATTGGGTATTTAGAAGATGGGGATGAATAGACAATAGAGATGCTTGATGGCGGCGGGAGTGTGTGGATTTGAATATTTGAAAGGTGAGGGTTGTGAAGCGGGAGTTCATTTTTCCGGCAACCATTTCAGTTATCCCTCACGATGGAGGATTGTTGGAGAAAGATTAGCTCTTTTTGGCCTCTGCAGATGGCCCACTGCAAAGGCAGACCCAAAAAAACTAACTCGTGGGGTCCTGTCTTTGCTAACAAATAACTTATGTCATTATTCATTTATTAGTGTACTTGCGCACATTTTTTATTCTTAAAAAATGTGTTAAAATCAGGTGAAGATTGAATGCAAATAATATGTAGCACTAAGTACCCCGGAGTAAATGAGTAAACACAAACTACTAGACAATAAATCAACTATTCACCACAGTTTTTATTTCACAAATCAGACATAATAATTCACAAGAACACTCACTTGATATTCCGTTAAAATACTGTACTTGAACACTTATTTATAAAAGCAATGATCGTTTGATAATTTAAAATTAGTTTACAATCAACTAATCAAGAAAATTAAATGATTTAGCCTAGTAAAAAAACTAGTCTATTCAAATAAACTTTGTAAATCAATTTTGTAATCCTTAAAATGTTATATACTCTCTCTGTCCCAAAAAGAATGCCACAGTTACTATTTTGGCCTCTAGATAACTTTTGTTTGCTTACTCGTTTTGGTTGACCATTTGATAAAATAAAATACTCTTGTCGCATTGAGTTTTGTAGAACTTTTGATGTACTTTTGGGCGGTATAATTGTAGCTTTTTATTTCTCAACCAATTTCTAAATAAAATGATTTTAAAAGAGATGATATTTTGCACGTTCTTCGAAATGTAGTAAACAATTTGGGATGGAAGGAGTATGATCTAATTTTTTAAGTTGGACTCAAATTAACGTAAGTCAACTTAATTCAACTAAACATTAGGTGTAAATTTTAAACTCAACCTCGATCAATTGCTCTATAGAGTGGTGCAAAACAGGGCCGGTCCTGAGACTTCAACGGCCTGGGCCGAGACAGGAAGAAAAGGCCTTAGAAGTCTTATCCCTAATTCCCTATTGGTCTAAACAATTAAAATATGTAAACTAATTATATTTAAATGACAATTAACCCAATAGTATTAAAAGAAAATAAGTAAATGACAAAATCATAGTAGTATAATTATATACTGTAAAAGCTAGCCGAGATTTTGTAAAGGTCTCCTTGCATTTTTAGAGCAAATTGATTGATCACATCTTAGTGAAATCAAATACACAAATACAAACTTTAAATTTCCAAAAAAAATCAGATCTTCAGATTATTAAATAATAGATTTTCATATTTTCACAACAAATGCATAACAATTAGCAAAAATTTCAAATAAAGATTTTCAATTTTTCACATGACAAATTCATATAATAAATTGTCAAATTCACAACAAAAATTCATAACATAAATTTATAAAGATTAAAATTTTTCAGATTTTCACATAACAAATTGTAAAATTCTTAAAGAAATTCTGAAATTGGTATTTTTTTTTACCTCCGTACCTGGACTCCTGGACCTGGAGGCTGGAGAGTTTCCGCCGAGGCGGCGTCTGGCGGTCGGCGGCGACTTCCTTCTGGCGTCTTTTTCAATTTCCGTCCGTGCCTTCGTGGGTGTTGGGCTGTTGGCTACTTCCGCTTTCTTCTGTGGAACGGAAATAGGAGGGCTAGGGAGTTTTGGGCTTTAGCTGGGCAGGGCTTAAATATATATACAATATTTAAAAAAATTAGGCCCCTTAAATTGTTGGGCCTGGCCCGGTTGGGCTTCTTGTCTTCTTAATGGGCCGGCCCTGGTGCAAAAACTAGGATATATAGGACCTGCTTGGAATGCAAATTACCCAAATCCAATCAAACACTCGTTCAAATTCAATCAATAGGAAATCGTGTAAGTGTAAATTAACCAATTCCAAGTTCAAACCAAAATCTATAAAACACAAGAAAAACACACACTTCATGCACATAGAATTGAGGATTGATCTTTAGGGTTGTGTACACACTTTCACTATATTTTTATTAAAATTTTCCTCCCTAACACTATCAATGCCCAAAAAAACAAATATTCAAATCAATTACTCTTTCCGTCCCTTAGTTTTTGTCCACTTTTGACTTTTGGAACTGTTCATTTAAGCACTTTGACTCATCAAATTCTCTCAATGTGTAAGCCTAAATATAGTCATGTGTGATCTTGTTTGATTTGTCTTAACATATAGATTATTAATATATAATTTCTATAATTTTTTAATATACAAATTACAAGATAAAATAGATTAAAGAAGTGCATTGGATGGTGTGTAAAAATGAAAGTGGACAAATACTCTGGGATGGATGGAGTAATAGATTTAAAGAACGTGTCCCTAAACATAATACGAGATATGACCAAACTATAACCCAAAATCAAATGATAAAACCATAGTCAGGGTAACACTCAAAGTCAAAGAAAGTAAGTATAAGACAACTTTGTAAGATTCTATTGGAGAGAAAGGGGGGATATGTTCTTGGGGAGATAGATCCAAAGCTCAAACTCTACACTACTTTCATCGTATCAAGAGAGCAGACTAGAGAGAATCAGATGCAGAAACTTCACAACACAATGGAGAATTATAACACTCAACACAATGGAGAATTATAACACTCAGGTCTTGAAATCAAAAAATCAGAAAATCAGAAAAAAGGCCTGTGAGAACACTGGCGTTTTTTTTGTTTTGTGCGGAGTTTTTATATCTGTAAATCAATGGTAAATATGATTTTTCATTATCAAAAGTTTAATCAAATAATTAAAAGTAATAAAAAATAGTAGAATATAATAAAAGACAGAGGGTATGTTTGAAAAATATTGACACTATAAATAGTTAAATTTGTATAAAAAATTAAAAAGTATTATATGCATAATATTGAATGACTTAAAATGCTATGTCAATAAAACACATCAATAAAATTAAAATTTGATGATGTATGAAGTAATGAGGTGTAAGCCGCGTAACATTCGTTTTGGGAGAAAAAAAGTACGTACTCCCTAATTTAAAGCAAATTACCAAAACACTAGTCCGTCACCGAGAGAGAAAATATCCGTGCTTACGCGCATTACCTGCGCGTGAGGTGTAGCTCCCGTACCTCGAGCGGCGGGGTGACTCAAAGTGGATATGGACGACTCTCAGTGGACTTCTCTCTCTCTCTCTCTCTATCACTATTCACAGCTCCCCATTTGTTATTGAGGAAAAGTTTCAGAGCCCCTTCCCAACTTTTCACATTTTGCCTTATTTTCTTTTTTCTTCTCAACTTTTCCTGGCTTCCAGCTAATGTTGGGGTCTCCTTCTCTCTAGATTTTACTACTAAACCACGTGTTATGCTGCTAATAAGGCCACTAATCACTTCTTGCTTAGCGTTTCCCCCACTTAAGAATCTCTCCTTTTTTTGTCTGCTTATTCTCATCATTCCCTCATAATTCCTATTCTTAGAATGTAAAGATAGGTACCCATTTCGTATTTATGCTTTTATTCTTAATTTTTCTGCTTGGAAACACAGAAAATGTGGTAAAGTTTTGAGCTTGACGAGGTCCAAAGTGTGGGGACTTACTTTTTCCTTTCTTCTTGTATCCGTATTGGGTATAGATTGAGGAAGAATTGGTATTCTTCTGGATCCATGTTTGGAAAAAGATCTGCTATGGTCTGCTTGATTTCGAAGATCTTCTTGGCTTTTCTCTTGATTTTGGCCGTACAGATTTCTTATGGAGCTAACCCTGGAGATGGTAAAGCTCAAGGGCTGATGATAATTTATGAGTGTATTTATTATTTCTTAGTTGCTAAGAAAAGCTCTTCTTCGCTGTCTTTATCTATCACCTAACTTTGGTCGTGTGGTTTATTATTACCAATGATTACTCGCTAATTGTGCTGTTGCTGTTATGAGTAATTACCAATGGCGTCTTCCCACTATTTTTCTTGTATTTTACAGAATTACCAGTATTTTTCTTTATTAGCATATTTTGGGCAAACCATCCAGCTCTACTGGCTGAGTTTAAGCAGTTGATGCACTTTATTTGACTATTTTATGTAGATTTTCTCCTGTAATTAAGTTCCCAATCTAATTATTTGTCTTCTTTCAAATATGCTCCCTTCTCCCTCATATGTTCATTCCATACTAGTTTTGATCAGCCATTGCCAACTGAGGTGATTTTGAGTTTTGACAATGTTTTACCTTTGAATAAATTTTGGACAACGTGTTAGCTTCGAGTAAATAATGAACTAAATAAAAATAACACAAAGTTTTGGATAATACAGAGTGAATGAGCAATGCATAAGGGTATAACATAACATGCTTGAACTTCCTTGTTTTCTAGAGGGGCAAGGTTGCTTACATCTAGACCCCAAATCCCAACAGAATTGAAATTGTGATGGGTTCTTTTTGTTTTCTTCATGCTAATTCTAAATTATAGAACACATGTGTTTGACCTTGGTGTTGAAATGATTTCTTTTCTTTTGAAGGAATGAAGTGATCATTTGTTTTCATGGAACAATATGATCAGTATTCATTTGTCATCAGTAAAATTATCCAAATGTTATTATTAATTTATTATTTTTGGATTGAGACTGGGTTCTAACTTCCAATTTTGACAACGGTGTAGTTGCTGCCATTATGGAATTGTATACTGCTTGGGGATCTCCTCCTCTTCCCGGATGGGGTAATGGAGACCCGTGCAGTGGAGAATGGCAAGGTGTTAACTGCATGGATGCAAACATAGAATCAATGTATGATACCTTCACTTGCTGCTATTATCTCATCTTTTACTGAAATGCATTGATCAAATTAAGATGTTAGTTCATAATTCTTGTAATATGATATGCAGTACGATCAACAGTGCTAATTTGGGAGGCGAACTTGGGGATAAGTTAGGATCATTTTCATCTATAAAAACAATGTAAGCCACAAAACCAATGTTGTTATTTGTTTCCTTTGCTAGTGTAACAACTACTGAATGTTGTGTGGCAGTGATCTGAGCAATAACCTCATTGGGGGCTCTATTCCATCCTCTCTACCGGTTACTTTGCAATCACTGTAAGTGCTTTCACTTTTCTTTGAGAATATATTTTTTATAGAAGAAGATTCGATCGATGAAGAGGGTCTATGTGCATATGATGAATGCTCTTTGCTTTTGTTGGCAGTTTCCTCTCAGCTAACCAGTTTACTGGAAGTATACCCGAGTCATTGTCTTCCCTGACTCAATTATCAGCTGTGTAAGATTCTCTTCGCGATGGGTTTTTGAGTACTGTTTCTATTAATAAAAAGGTCTATATTTTGCTTAGGTATAAATTTGAAACTTGTTTCAGGTCTCTGAATGAGAACAAATTGACTGGAGATATCCCTGATGTCTTTCAAGGACTTACAGATTTGGTCAATTTGTACGGTACCATTACAAAATCTTCTATAAAATACAAAATCATTTCTTCAAAGCAAATCTAGGGTTCCACTTCTTTGAATTAAGTAACTGGTAAATTACAAACAGAGATTTGTCTAGCAACAATTTAAGTGGGACATTGCCGCCATCAATCGGAAACATGACTGCATTGACAACTCTGTGAGTTATTCAGCTTGCATTATTATTATTATGATTATAATTCATTTGATGCATGTGGGTAAAGCTAACCACTTCTTGTTCAACAGTCATTTGCAGAACAATCAAATCTCTGGAACCCTTGATGTTTTGCAAGATCTTCGACTCAGAGATTTGTACTCCTTTGAACTTTATCTTTACCAGACATGATTTGCATTTTGTAAGATGGGATTGTACTAAGTACTAACATCCACTCCTCCCTCTCTCAGAAATATAGAAAATAACATGTTTTTTGGGCCAATACCGCAGCAACTCCTGTCGATTCCCAATTTCAAGTAAGTCCTAATATAATAATATTATATTCAAATTAAACACAGATTACATGAGAAGCTCTTAAAGTTGCAAGACCATAAACAAATTGTTAATATTTGAAGTTGATAGGGTGGAATCACTTATATATATGCATACACTTTATATCCAGGTTTAAATGGGATATATGTGTTTGGTAGGATAAGTTTTTTTGCCTCTCGACCCTTCGTGGGTAAAGTTAATGTCTGCATGCATCGTACCCTCCCACCTTAAATCTCTATACAGATTTCAAGCAAATTGATCCATAGTTTTCTCCTTGCATTATATGATTAAGTTATTCCTGTTTAACATGAAGTCTTATGGCTGCCCATTCGGTGTAAACTGCAAACAATTCTTTATTTATGAATAATTTCATATTTAATTTTATTTTAATATAATTTTATTTTGTTGTTGTTCATATTTAATTTTATTTGTATTGATCTAAAAAAATATTTTTACAAACTGAAGTATCCTTTCTCTTCCGGGTTTTGTAGCTACCAATTTGTAATCCAAATATCCATAGTACTATTTATGAGCAGCCATAGTACGATTGAGATTTTGCATTTTCCTAATTTGCCCCAAGTACCTTTATATTGCAGAAAGGATGGAAATTCTTTTAACAGTAGTAGTGCACCTCTACTTCCGCCACCCTCCACGACACTGCCGTCAGGACCACCATTCTTTTCTGGGAGCCCGACGTCTGCGCAATGGCCACCAAAGTCTGATAAGAAACCTCCAGAGCAAGCTGATGGACCATCAGCATCTGGGGAATCAAATTCTAAGATGGGAAAAAAGTCATCTACTAAAAGAGTGGTTTGGATATCAATAGCAGCAGCATTGTCCTTAGTAATGTTCATATTGGCAATCCTGCTTTGTTTACCCAGGCGCCTTAGGGAAAGACCCGTGATTCAAAGGATTCCCAAACGGCATGAAATAGCCCCATTAACAGGACCCAGAGAGA